GGTGAATCGTCACTAAAGTTATCGTGTTTTCAATTTTTTTTTATGCAGTATGACAGTTAGTTTGCAGCTTCCAATATGTCTTACCCGTTGATTTCAGTTATAAAACCTTTTTGCTTTTCGTTATTTATGTTTTTTATTCGTTTAACTCTTATAGGTGATGCTGTTGTAGCTTCTGATTCAGAAAAATATCTATGTCAATTGAACTGTTTATTTTTATCGTTTAGTAGATCTCGGAGGCTTTCGAGTTGTTGTATAATTGTCGCGTCGGATTCAGAAATTGCGTTTCGTTTTCTGGAAATTGGTTTTTGATGATCTAATTTTATTTAGAGATTAATGTCTTCTTTTTCGGTTGCTTTTTCATTTGATATATCCTGCCTTGACTTCCGGTTTTTTTCAAATTCTGATCTAACTCAAGCTCAAAAATATTGTTCAGGCTAGAAAGTTTGTTTCAGTTTATTTTAATTTTGATCCTTATCGTGCTAAATCAAGCAGCACAAGATTTTTTCTTCAGCGTGCCAAATCACGCAGCACAAACAAGTCAAGAGGATTTTTTAATTTTAAATTAATTTCTTTTTTTTTTTGAAGAAAAGTAAAATACTTTATCGAACAGCAAGAGTGTAAAGATAACGCAAAAATGAGTCACTACTTGTTTCAACAATGGACTTTAATTTTCTGAACTCCCAGCTGATTTTAAAAAAATTACGAATTTCCTTTTAAGCTTGCTTAAATTTTGGGTGCGTCATTTGTTGTCTTTTACTCGGGGAATGAATTTGTGTTTAATAGTCGTCGTTGAAATACCAACACGATTTACGGAGCAGAAACTATTTTAATTTTTTTGAAACTAGTTTTGTTTTCAAGTTACTTATTCCTCAAAGACCGGAACGCATCCCTTTCAACTTTCGACAGTGCCAAAATATGTTGAAGACTTCGAGACGGCGAAAAAAAACTTAGACAAAAAGTTCAGAGAGAGGAAGCGGGGTCTTTATAACTACGAGTCAAATCGAATCGAAATAGATCGAAGCGAGCATAAAATTCAGTATGCAGAGCTGAAAAAGTTAGGAGAGTTAGATAGTCTGAATGAAGCGAAACGATTTTGATTTGAGCTGCAAAAGCGAAAAGACAGCGAGTTTGATCAAACAATTTTTCTTTTGAAGTCGAACTACAAAGCAGAATTGAATGAAATATGCGAAAGTTTTAATGTTGGCTTCAATGAAAATTTCATGGAGTCTGGCCTATCATTAGCAGGTGTTAGCAGAGAGCAGAGTGATCATCAGTTGGGTAACAATAGAGTAAATTTGTCCGCCTCAAAATTCAACGAGATTAGCAGATGGGCAGCAGATACATATCTGTCGATTGAAGCGAATAACATTAATTCAACTACTGAAATAGACGAAGCTGATGTTGTGGTATCTCCGCGGAGGAACTGGGAAATGGAACTCAAGGCAGTCGACGTTCTAAAATGTAAGTCCTCAAGCTTACAGTCGCCGTCTTCCATTAGCTCTTCTAGCAGACGCCGCCTAATTTCGGGAAGTGTGTGCTCCGATAAAATGCATGAATTTGCTAGCAGATCTGAACTAAATGAAAGCAGAGCTTCGTCTAAGTTCATCAAAAAGCAACCAATTTCGGGAATCACCAGGATAGATGGAAATCAATTGCAGTTCTACTACAACTCAGCAACAGCTCCACCCTCCGCCACCATGAAGGATGTCAAGTATCTGTACAAATCTCAAAATATCGATCATTTCCAGCGGTTGCTTGACTCGTTGAATAACGTGGGAAATAGCAGTTTACCGAAAGTGCCTCTTCCTCCGGCAGTCAATTTTGTAGGCATGTGCTGTTGCCTTTGCGAAATATATTTGTGGCAAAATTGTATTTGTCCTCTTGATAGATCACTAGTGGGATCATTGACAAATGGGAGGATTGAATCGCCACTAAAGTTATCGTGTTTTCAATTTTTTGTTAGGCAGTATGACAGTTAGTTTGCAGCTTCCAATATGTCTTTTACGTTGATTTCAGTTATAAAGTCCTACTGTTTTTGTTATTTATGTTTTTTATTCGTTTAACTCATAGATGATGCTGTTGTAGCTTCTGATTCAGAAAAATATCTGTTACAACTGAACTGTTTATTTTTTTTCGTTTAGTAGATCTCGGAGGCTTTCGAGGTGTTGTATAATTGTCGCGTCGGATTCAGAAATTGCGTTTCGTTTTCTGAAAATTGTTTTGATAATCTGTTTTTGTTTAGAGATTATTGTCTTCTTTTTCGGTTGATTTTTCATTTGATATATACTACATTTCGTTTGTGCGATGTCATAAAAAGTATTTTATTTAGTACCTTGAATTAAACAATTATGTAGATCTATGATTTGATCGTTTCCCAAGTTATCTCTTGACATAAGTGTTGAATGATTGATGCAAAATCCAGTTGTTAGTTTCTGTTTTCTAAACCGTTAGTTCTTACTCTTGTGAGGTTATCCCAATCCTTGTGTCATATTGTCGTAGCATTATGTGTTGGGAAGAAACTATATCAATTCAAAAGAATGTTTTTCTTTTCTCAAACGAATTGACGTTCTCTACTTTTAGTTAAAAATAATGGGGATCGAGAATAATAAATCAATCCACAAGGCTCAGTTATAATTAGAACACAAGTAGATCGTTACATATTTTTTAGTGCATACTAGTTCTTTGATTTCTTCTAGGCCTGGGTCATTTCAAGAGGTTGGGTTCAAGTGAAGGACGAGAGTAACCGAAGTTCTTCACAGTTTAGCTTAATTTTAATAGTGAGTTTTTGAAGAAAAGTTTCAGTTAGTCCAGGGTCGTTTGTAAAGGTTGGAGGGTGAATCGACGTTTGAGGTCGTTAGACACTTCAGACTGGGAGGAGGGCTTGAAAATTTGAATTGATCAATGGAAAGCCTTGATGATCTAAATTTAAAATTTAATTTTTTCAAGAATAGTATAGAATTGAAGAATTAAAGTTAAGAATTTATATATCCAAAGGAAGTCTTGGTGATCTGATTAAAGTTAATCAAATTAGGTTTAAATTTAAATGTGAGGTTAAACCCTGATAAAAAGTTTAGAAATAATTTAATGGTTAGAGAATGGTTAAAAATCAAAGAAAATTGTTGGTGATCTTGTTTTGAAGTTAAATTAAGTTTTTTAACAGTTTTGTATTACTTTAGGTGAAAAAAAACAATAACAGATATGATCCCGAAGAAGCAAGGAACCATCAGTTTTTAATACATTTTTCTGTATTTTTCATTGAATTGATAATTTGAAACAAAATTATTTAAAAAAGTTACTGCCGATTTAGAGTTTTGTGGTTGATTTAGTTTTATTTGTCGACAGGTTGTTTGTGTATAATAATAAATACAGGTAATTTTAAGATTATACGGCTTGTTAAATCATTTTTACGGATCTCTTCATGACAGTTTATGTAGTATTGAAAGTTTAATGCACATAGTTTTAATGATCTATTTACTCGTCGTCGTCTGCTTTTTCTCGCTTTGCGATGCAGGTATTTGATTTTTCCTGTTTTATGACCTGTTGTCGTCTTGACTATTGGATCGGCGTGATTAGATTTATTGAGAAATAGAAATAAGCTAATTTTAATTTAGGTTCGGCTTGGTTTTGTTTTTGCATTTTGCTAAATCTAGGTTTTTTCTGAATGTTAGTATAGGTCTGCTCGAGGCGCGTTTGGTCGCACCAAATGAGTTTAGGTCCGGGATGGCCTTCTCATATAGTAATTTCGGATAGCGTACACCGTCTGTTCGTGACGCTATCTAATTGTAGGCCGGATGAATTCGTGCAAATTCTTATTCTATTACCGATCCTATTCTCACTCTTATATATCCTAGTCTCAATAGATCTGGTATATACTGGTTTTCTTGTGAGGTTAGAGGATAGAAAGAGCAACTGCTTTTTAAGTTAGTTTATTTCTTCTCTGGCTGAAACTATAAATAGTTTCAGCTATACAAGTTTTTATAATTTTTAGTAATGGACCATGATTGGTTTGTTCTAAATATTTTACTGTGATTATTATCAAGGAATATAGTTGGTTATAAAATACTTGATTTTGTTTTGATCAGTTTCGACCCTTTGTTTTAAGTTTTTAGTCATGAAAGTGTTTAAATTTAACAGCGAGATAACAACAGGGGTTTAATATTTCAATTGTTGTTTACTTGAATTATTGCACTGACTCAAGATCTTGGAAAGTCGGAACCATTTGCGCATTGTGTTCCGACTTTTCAAGATTGTGACTGTGCACTAAGAGATATTTTTTGTTTTGACCAGTTTCGACCTTATGTGTTAGGTTTATAGTCTAAAACAAAAGGTCATTATTTCAATTGTTCTTTATTTGCCTCAAAGTGCTGATCCTGAAGCTTTCTCAAAAAAAACATCTATTTTTTTGTTCTGATATCATTTTGAACCGAAACTTATGTTATGCTTGGATCTCCTGCGTTCAAACAAAAAATATAATTTACATTTTTTCCGAAACTCAAATGCACTCTACGGAAATGTCGAAACTTCCGGTTATTTTCAAATTCTGATGTAACTCAAGCTCACACATTTTGTTCAGGCTAGAAAATTTGTTTCAGTTTATTTCACTTTTGATCTTTATCGTGCTAAATCAAGCAGCACAAAATGTTTTCTTCATCGTGCTAAATCACGCAGCACAAACAAGTCAAGAGGATTTTTTTTAACTTTGAGTTAATTACTTTTTTTTGCAGAAAAGCAAAATATTTTATCCAACAGCAAGAGTGTAAAGATAACGCAAAAATTGAGTCACCACTTGTTTCAAAAATGGACTTTAATTTTCTGAAATCCCAGCTGATTTTAAAAAAAATTAGGAATTTCCTTTTAAGGTTGCTTAAATTTTGGCTGCGTCATTTGTTGTCTTTTACTTGGGGAATGAATTTATGTGTTTAATAGTCGTCGTTGAAATACCAACACGATTTACGTAGCAGAAACTATTTTAACTTTTTTGAAACTAGTTTTGTTTTCAGGTTACTTATTCCTCAAAGACCGGGACGCATCCCTTTCAACTTTCGACAGTGCCAAAATATGTTGAAGACTTCGAGACGGCGAAAAAAAACTTAGACAAAAAGTTCAGAGAGAGGAAGCGGGGTCTTTATAACTACGAGTCAAATCGAATCGAAATAGATCGAAGCGAGCATGAAATTCAGTATGCAGAGCTGAAAAAGTTAGGAGAGTTAGAGAGTCTGAATGAAGCGAAACGATTGTATTCTGAGCTGCAAAAGCAAAAAGACAGCGAGTTTGAACAAACAATTTTTCTTTTGAAGTCGAACTACAAAGCAAAATTGAATGAAATATGCGAAAGTTTTAATGTTGGCTTCAATGAAAATTTCATGGAGTCTGGCCTATCATTAGCAGGTGTTAGCAGAGAGCAGAGTGATCATCAGTTGGGTAACAATAGAGTAAATTTGTCCGCCTCAAAATTCAATGAGATTAGCAGATGGGCAGCAGATACATCTCAGTCGATTGAAGCGAATAACATTGATTCAACTACTGAACTAGACGAAGCTGATGTTGTGGTATCTCCGCGGAGGAACTGGGAAATGGAACTCAAGGCAGTCGACGTTCTGAAACGTAAGTCCTCAAGCTTACAGTCGCCGTCTTCCATTAGCTCTTCTAGCAGACGCCGCCTAATTTCGGGAAGTGTGGGCTCCGATAAAATGCATGAATTCACTTGCAGATCTGATCTAAATGAAAGCAGAGCTTCGTCTAAGTTCATCAAAAAGCAACCAATTTCGGGAATCACCAGGATAGATGGAAATCAATTGCAGTTCTACTACAACTCAGCAACATCTCCACCCGCCGCCACCATGAAGGATGTCAAGTATCTGTACAAATCTCAAAATATCGATCATTTCCAGCGGTGGCTTGACTCGTTGAATAATGTGGGAAATAGCAGTTTACCGAAAGTGCCTCTTCCTCCGGCAGACAATTTTGTAGAGAGAATAGACTTGCCAATCTACGATGATCATGAAAATTCAGTGAACGGACCTTTACCAGACGCTGTAATCAAGTCATTGTTAGATCGCTTGGCTCCTGGCTCAAAAGTTTCTGAGAAAGATAATAACAGCAAGGAAGACATTGTCGGTGAACACAAAGATCAACACAACTCGGGTAAAAACGACGGTTGCTATAGAAAAAACAAAAATGAACCGCTCGAAGATGCACAGGCTGATAAAAACAGACTCAAAAAATGGAAGAGCGCGCCCTTCGATTTGAACGGAAATGAATCTCTCCAGCACGCTTCTGGCCAAATAAAAGAAGCTGATACTGAGGAGCTCGCTTGGTTATCTTCTTTGCAGTACAACTTACGATCTTCTGTGCCTGTCGATTATATAAATACTCGCTCGCAAAATAGTTCTCGTATGTACAAAAAACTACCCCCCGTGCCAAATGTGGAAGCTGAAGTTATTGGTGAACACTATAATAATATATCAGTGGCACCTGAACACCCTGATGTGTTTGACTTGCACGACATTTCTTTTGTGTCACTGCGGTCCCCTCCAAAAGTGCCTCCGAGAGAATCCACATCGGTTTTCCAAGAAATACCGGTCGATAAATCAGGAAAAAAACGGAGTATTCGGGGCCCAATTTTGAAGCCAGATGATAATGTCGTTGCAACCCCTCGCTGGAATGCAAGAGCTATGGATAGAAATACAGAGATGCATCTGGGGAGACTAACCTTGACACGCAGGTTTCAAAATTGTTTAGATTAAACATGCCTTAGCCTAGAAAAATAATTGCCCTGACTAAACAAATCCGCACAAAAATAGTAGTACATTAGAAGATCTTGACTCCTCTACTTTATGAAGGCAGAGTTTTAGTTTGACTTTAATTTGTTAAATGTCGATCCTCGAGGCATATTTTTAAATTTCTAAATTAAATCACTGGTAGAAGCTCATACGGCCAGTTTTGCAATACTAATTGTAGAAGCTAGTGTATCAGATCTAGCTATTTTCCAACTGTTGTTTTACCTTTGTCTGTTGGCTATATTTAATCTAGAAGTTTAATCCACTTTACTGTATTACTGAATTTTCTTGATTTTTTTTGAGAGTAATGAACGAATTTTGTTCATTCTTAGTTTTAGTTTTTCCCCCTTAGATTTGTTTTCTTTTCAGGCAAACTCGAACAGCGAAAATTTGAAGTATCTCGCAAACAGGAGATCGACTTCTAATTACGAAAATGGAATATAATACTCAGATTTCCCAGCGAAATTAATAGTTTACCTGTTGATCCAGTTTCCTCTAATTGAGTTAGTTTTAGCAAAACAACGCCAATCTTAAATTGCTTTTGAAATTCAAAGAGCTCAACGGGCATATTGTTTTTTCTTCTAAGTTATAATTTTTTTTCTGTTTCCTTGCGTTCATTACTTTTCCAACTGTAAGTTGGCTAATTTTTTTTAAACAATAATGAAAACAATTTTTGTAGTTTTTCATACTAGTTGTACAATCTGCATTTCTTAGGTGTTCACAGGCAATTTTTTGGACATAAGGAAACTATATTACGTCGCGAGCATGTCATATATCGTTGATTGAAGCATAAGAGAACATGGTTGAGTGAACTATTGGAAAGTAGTGAACAAAATAAACTTTAATTTGATAAATGTAGATCTTCGAGGCAAAGTTGATGTTGTGGTATCTCCGCGGAGGAACTGGGAAATGGAACTCAAGGCAGTCGACGTTCTAAAACGTAAGTCCTCAAGCTTACAGTCGCTGTCTTCCATTAGATCTTCTAGCAGATGCCGCCTAATTTCGGGAAGTGTGGGCTCCGATAAAATGCATGAATTCACTAGGAGATCTGATCTAAATGAAAGCAGAGCTTCGTCTAAGTTCATCAAAAAGCAACCAATTTCGCGAATCACCAGGATAGATGGAAATCAATTGCAGTTCTACTACAATTCAGCAACAGCTCCACCCGCCGCCACCATGAAGGATGTCAAAAAGCTCAAAATATCGATCATTTCCAGCGGTGGCTTGACTCGTTGAATAACGTGGGAAATAGCATTTTACCGAAAGTGCCTCTTCCTCCGGCAGACAATTTTGTAGAGAGAATAGACTTGCCAATCTACGATGATCATTCAAATTCAGTGAACGGACCTTTACCAGACGCTGTAATCAAGTCATTGTTAGATCGCTTGGCTCCTGGCTCAAAAGTTTCTGAGAAAGATAATAACAGCAAGGAAGACATTGTCGGTGAACACAAAGATCAACACAACTCGGGTAAAAACGACAGTTGCTATAGAAAAAACAAAAATGAACCGCTCGAAGATGCACAGGCTGATAAAAACAGACTCAAAAAATGGAAGAGCGCGCCCTTCGATTTGAACGGAAATGAATCTCTCCAGCACGCTTCTGGCCAAATAAAAGAAGCTGATACTGAGGAGCTCGCTTGGTTATCTTCTTTGCAGTACAACTTACGATCTTCTGTGCCTGTCGATTATATAAATACTCGCTCGCAAAATAGTTCTCGTATGTACAAAAAACTACCCCCCGTGCCAAATGTGGAAGCTGAAGTTATTGGTGAACACTATAATAATATATCAGTGGCACCTGAACACCCTGATGTGTTTGACTTGCACGACATTTTTTTTGTGTCACTGTGGTCCCCTCCAAAAGTGCCTCCGAGAGAATCCACATCGGTTTTCCAAGAAATACCGGTCGATAAATCAGGAAAAAAAACGGAGTATTTGGGGCCCAATTTTGAAGCCAGATGGTAATGTCGTTGCAACCCCTCGCTGGAATGCAAGAGCGATGGATAGAAATACATGCGTCTGGGGAGACTAACCTTGACACGCCGGTTTCAAAGTTGTTTAGATTAAACATGCCTTAGCCGAGAAAAATAATTGCCCTGACTGAACAAATTCGCACAAAAATAGTGGTACATTAGAAGATCTTGACTCCTCTACTTTATGAAGGCAGAGTTTTAGTTTGACTTTAATTTGTTAAATGTCGATCCTCGAGGCATATTTTTAAATTTCTAAATGAAATCACTGGTAGAAGCTCATACGGCCAGTTTTGCAATACTAATTGTAGAAGCTAGTGTATCAGATCTAGCTATTTTCCAACCGTTGTTTTACCTTTGTCTGTTGGCCATGTTTATTCATAGAAATGTTATCCACTTTGATTGTTTTAAGAGTAATTGACGAATTTTGTTCACTCTCAGTTTCAGTTTCCCCCCTTTAGCTCTGATTTCTTTTTAGTTCAGTTTATTTCCTTTGATGAAAGGAAGGTAAACTCGAACAGCGAAAATTCAAAATATCGCGCCCATATAAACTATATAACATCGCGAACATGTCATAAATCGTTGATTGAAGCATAAGGAAACATGGTTGAGTGAACAATTGGAAATTCTTGAAAAAAATAGACTTTTTTGTTAAATGTAGATCCTCGAGGCATGTTCTTAAATTTTTAAATTAAACCACTGGTAGAAGCTCATACGTCCAGTTTTGCTACACTAATTGTAGGAGCTAGTGTATCAGATCTAGCTTTTTTCCAATAACTGTTTTACCACTGTCTGTTGGCCGTGTTTTTTCATAGACATTTTATCTACTTTGCCGTATTACTGATTTTTCTTGATTTTTTAAAGAGTAATGAACGAATTTTGTTACTCTCAATTTTAGTTCCCCCCTTTTGGTTTGATTTCTTTTTAGTTCAGTTTATTTCCTTTAATGAAAGGAAGGTAAACTCGAACAGCAAAATTTCAATATATTTCGCCAAACCAGATCGACTTCTAGATACTTAAGTGGAATTTGTTATCAGATATCCCAGCGAAGTTAAAAGTTTATCTTTTGATCCAGTTTGCTCTTGAGTTAGAATTAGCAAAAAAAGCACCTATAATAAATTGCTTTCGAGTTTCAAAGAGCTCCACGGGCATATTTTTTTACTTCAAAATTAGAAATTTTTTCTGTTTCCTTGCGTTCAATACTTTCCCAATTGTAAGTTACTAATTTTTTTGAACAATAGTGGAAACAATTTTTGTAAACTTTCATACTAGTTGTACAAGCTGCATCTCTTAGATGTCCACAAGCTATTTTTTGGACATTAAAAACCATATAACATCGCGAACATGTCAAAAATTGTTGTCAAAAATCGCATAAGGGAACATGGTTGAGTGAACAATTGAAAGTTATTGAACAAAATAGACTTTTCAGTTTTAGTTCACCCCTTTAGGTTTTTTTTTAATTTGGTTCAATTCCTTTGTTGAAAGAAAGGTAAACTCGAACAGTGAAAATTCAAAATATCTCGCCGAAAGCAGATCGAATTTCAGTTACGCAAGTGGAATTTATTATCAGACTTCCCAGCGAAGTTAAAAGTTAACCTTTTGATCCAGTTTCCTGTTGAGTTAATATTAGCAAAAAAGCACCAATAATAAATTGTTTTCGAATTTCAAAGAGCTCCACGGGCATATTTTTTTTTCTTCAAAGTCAGAGATTTTTTGTTTCCTTGCGTTCATTACTTTCTCAACTGTAATTTGACTAATTTTTTTGATTAATAATGGAAACAGTTTTTTGTAAACTTTCATACTAGTTGTACAATCTGCATCTCTTAGATGTTCACAAGCTATTTTTTGGACATTAAAAACTATATAACATCGCGAACATGTCATAAATCGTTGATTGAAGCATAAGGGAACATGGTTAAGTGAACAATTGGAAGTTCTTGAACAAAATAGACTTTTCAGTTTTATTTCACCCCTTTAAGTTTGATTTTTTTAAAATTTGGTTCAATTCTTTTGTGACAGGAAGGTAAACTCGAACAGTGAAAATTCAAAATATCTCGCCAAAAGCAGATCGAATTTCAGTTACGCAAGTGGAATTTATTATCAGACTTCCCAGCGAAGTTAAAAGTTTATCTTTTGATCCAGTTTCCTCTTGAGTTAGAATTAGCTAAAAAGCACCAATAATAAATTGTTTTCGAATTTCAAAGAGCTCCACGGGCGTATTCTTTTTTCTTCAAAATTAGAAAAAAAATTTCCTTGCGTTCATTACTTTCCCAACTGTAAGTTGACTAATTTTTTTAAACAATAGTGGAAACAATTTTGGTAAACTTTCATACTAGTTGTTCAATCTGCATCTCTTAGGTGTTCACAAGCAATTTTTTAGGAGATAAGAAAACTATATTACATCGCGAACATGTCATAAACCTTTTTTTGAAGCATAAGGGAACATGGTTGAGTGAACAATTGGAAATTCTTGAACAAAATAGACTTTTTTTGTTAAATGTAGATCCTCAAGTTATATTTTTGAATTAATAAATAAAATCACTCTAATAGAAGCTCATGCGTCCAGTTTTGCTGCACTAATTGTAGGAGCTAGTGAATCAGATCTAGCTATTTTCTAACTACTGTTTTACCTTTGTCTGTTGGCTATGTTTAATCCTAGAAATTTCATCCACCTAACTGTATTACTGATTTTTCTTGATTATTTGTAATAGTAATGAACGAATTTTGTTCACTTTTAGTTTTAGTTCCCCCCTTTAGGTTTGATTTATTTTTAGTTCAGTTTATTTCCTTAGTTGAAAGGAAGGTAAACTCGAACAGCGAAAATTCAAATTATCGCGCCTATATAAACTATATAATATCGCGAACATGTCATAAATCGTTGATTGAAGCATAAGGAAACATGGTTGAATGAACAATTGGAAATTCTTGAACAAAATAGACTTTTTTTGTTAAATGTAGATCCTCAAGTTATATTTTTGAATTAAAAAATAAAATCACTCTAATAGAAGCTCATGCGTCCAGTTTTGCTGCACTAATTGTAGGAGCTAGTGTATCAGATCTAGCTATTTTCCAACTACTGTTTTACCTTTGTCTGTTGGCTATGTTTAATCCTTGAAATTTGATCCACCTAACTGTATTACTGATTTTTCTTGATTATTTGTAACAGTAATGAACGAATTTTGTTCACTCTCAATTTTAGTTCCTCACCCCTTTTGGTTTGATTTCTTTTTACTTCAGTTTATTTCCTTTAATGAAAGGAAGGTAAACTCGAACAGCGAAATTTCAATATATCTCGCCAAACCAGATCGACTTCTAGTTACTTAAGTGGAATTTGTTATCAGATTTCCCAGCGAAGTTAAAAATTTCCTGTTGAGTTAGAATTAGCAAAAAAAGCACCAATAATAAATTGTTTTCGAGTTTCAAAGAGCTCAACGGGCAAATTTTTTTTACTTCAAATTTAGAAATTTTTTCTGTTTCCTTGCGTTCAGTACTTTCCCAATTGTAAGTTGACTAATTTTTTTTAAACAATAGTGGAAACAATTTTTGTAAACTTTCATACTAGTTGTACAATCTGCATCTCTTAGATGTCCACAAGCTATTTTTTGAACATTAAAAACCATATAACATCGCGAACATGTCAAAAATTGTTGTCAAAAATCGCATAAGGGAACATGGTTGAGTGAACAATTGGTTATTGAACAAAATAGACTTTTCAGTTTTAGTTCACCCCTTTAGGTTTTTTTTAATTTGGTTCAATTCCTTTGTTGAAAGGAAGGTAAACTCGAACAGTGAAAATTCAAAATATCTCGCCAAAAGCAGATCGAATTTCAGTTACGCAAGTGGAATTTATTATCAGACTTCCCAGCGAATTTAAAAGTTAACCTTTTGATCCAGTTTCCTGTTGAGTTAATATTAGCAAAAAAGCACCAATAATAAATTGTTTTCGAATTTCAAAGAGCTCCACGAGCATATTTTTTTTTCTTCAAAGTCAGAGATTTTTTATTTCCTTGCGTTCATTACTTTCTCAACTGTAAGTTGACTAATTTTTTTGATTAATAATGGAAACAGTTTTTGTAAACTTTCATACTAGTTGTACAATCTGCATCTCTTAGATGTTCACAAGCTATTTTTTGGACATTAAAAACTAGCTAACATGGCATAAATCGTTGATTGAAGCATAAGGGAACATGGTTAAGTGAACAATTGGAAGTTCTTGAACAAAATAGACTTTTCAGTTTTATTTCACCCCTTTAGGTTTGATTTTTTTAAAATTTGGTTCAATTCTTTTGTTGACAGGAAGGTAAACTCGAACAGTGAAAATTCAAAATATCTCGCCAAAAGCAGATCGAATTTCAGTTACGCAAGTGGAATTTATTATCAGACTTCCCAGCGAAGTTAAAAGTTTATCTTTTGATCCAGTTTCCTCTTGAGTTAGAATTAGCTAAAAAGCACCAATAATAAATTGTTTTCGAATTTCAAAGAGCTCCACGGGCATATTTTTTTTTCTTCAAAGTCAGAGATTTTTTGTTTCCTTGCGTTCATTACTTTCTCAACTGTAATTTGACTAATTTTTTTGATTAATAATGGAAACAGTTTTTTGTAAACTTTCATACTAGTTGTACAATCTGCATCTCTTAGATGTTCACAAGCTATTTTTTGGACATTAAAAACTATATAACATCGCGAACATGTCATAAATCGTTGATTGAAGCATAAGGGAACATGGTTAAGTGAACAATTGGAAGTTCTTGAACAAAATAGACTTTTCAGTTTTATTTCACCCCTTTAAGTTTGATTTTTGTTAAAATTTGGTTCAATTCTTTTGTGACAGGAAGGTAAACTCGAACAGTGAAAATTCAAAATATCTCGCCAAAAGCAGATCGAATTTCAGTTACGCAAGTGGAATTTATTATCAGACTTCCCAGCGAAGTTAAAAGTTTATCTTTTGATCCAGTTTCCTCTTGAGTTAGAATTAGCTAAAAAGCACCAAGAATA